GGGAAGAGGTGAGAGCAAAAGCTAATCGGAGTGAGTTGAGGAGAGAATGTGAAGTAACAATGTGAAGAATGTGAAGAAACAGTAACAAAGAAACACTCAAGAAGTTTCATGAAGGAGAAAAGAGAGGAGGCAGAGCTGCAAGGTGATGTGGAGACAAGGAAGGAATTTTTGTTAATGGTACATACTAGAGCTTGTTTGGATGCTGACAAGAATGATCCAACGTGAGAGAGAAACTGCTGGTGAAGAAAGGCAAAGAGAAAATTACAGGTGAGAAAGGATGGAAACCAGAGGACCATGGGCCTTGGATGAGAACAGGGACACTTCATCCATGGTAAAAAGAGGAAAGCAAAGAATGTGGATATTTGGGGGGTGTGTAATTATGGTATGCATAAATGTTTTTCTGTAAGGACATTTATTGAAACATTGTTTATAATAGCAAAAAATACAGAACAAACTAAATGCTTAATGGGGCATTTGGCTAAATACTCCAGAATATTATGCAGCCATTAAAAGTGATATTATATACCTACAGCTACCATTATACTTAATGGTAAAGATTGAATGATTTTTTCCTAAGATCGAGAAAAAGGCAAGGATTTCTGCTCTCACCACTCCTATTCAACATAGTACTAGAATTCCTAGCCAGTGAAATAATGCAAGAAAAAGAAATAAAAGGCATGCAGATTGGAAGAGGAGAAATTAAACTGTCCTTATTTCCAGATGACAGGATTGTCTGTGTAAAAAATTTCAAGGAATCTGCAAAAAACCTGTTAGGACTACTAAATGGATTTAGCAAAGTCACAGGATATAAGATCAGCATGCAAAAATCGATTGTATTTCTATAAACAACCAATGAAAAATTGGAAACTGAAATTAAAAACACAATATTGTTTATAACTGCTAGGAAAAAGAAGGAAGGAAAGAAGGAGAAGGAAGGGAGAGAGGAAGGAAAAGTACTTAGATTTATATCTAACAAAACACATATATGATCTGTATGCTAAAAACCACAAAACTCAAAAAAGAAATCAAAGAAGACCAGTATAAATGGAGAGGCATACCATGTTCATGGATTGTTAAAATTCAACATAGTAAAGATTTCAATTCTCAATTTGATCCATAGGTTTAACATAATTCCTATCAAAATCCTAGCAAGAGTCTTTGTAGATATAGACAAGTTAAACCTAAAATTTAGATGGAAAGGCAAAGTAACTAAATCACTAAACCAATATTGAAAAAGAACAAAGTTGGAGGAATTGAACTGCCTTATTTTAAAACTTACTATAGCTACAATAATGAAGATAATATGGTATTGACAGAATCGTAGACACATAAGTCAATGAAACAAATAGAAGTTCCTGAAACAAACCCTCACAAGGATGGCCAACTGTTTTTTAACAAAGATGCAATAGCAACTGAATGGAAAATAGATAGCCTTTTCAACAGTGTTTGAACAACTGGACATGAACTTCAACCTAAACTTCACACATTATACAAAAAGCAACTAAAAATCGTTAATCTAAATGTAAAATGTAAAACTATAAAACATTTAGAGAAAAACATAGGAGAATGGTATTTGTGACCTAGGGTTAGGCAGGGAATTTACAGATATGATTCCAAAGACATAATCCATAAAAGAAAATAGTGATCAATTGGATTTCATAAAAATTAAAAATGTTTTCTCTGTAAAAAAGAAGAAGAAGAAGGAGAGGAGAAGGAGGATTAGGAGGAGGAGGAGAAAAAGAAAAACTCTGTTATGAAGATGAAAAGACAAGCCACAGGTTGGAAAATATTTTTCAAAATTGTGTCTGACAAAGGCTTTGTATCCAGAAGACATAGAGAGCTCTCTAAACTCTGCACTAAGAAAACAAAAAATCCAATTTAAAAATGGGCAAATGCTTGAACAGACATTTTATCAAAAAAGACATATGGATGGCGAAAAAGCTCATGAGAAGATATTCAGTATCTTCTATTCATAAGCAACAGAAGTAGCTCTACACTAGGTCAAAAAAGACAATGTGATTTCTACAAATTCACCAGGTCACTCACTGTCGAAGCCCTGAGTTGCCATGTAAGAAGATATCTGTGCTGTGAGAAAGCCCAAGCCACATGGAGAGGCTTCAACTGACAGCCTCAGCTGAGGCCCCAGCCAATGGCTTGCATCAATTGCCAGATGTGTGAATAAAGAGACCTCCAGATGATGATTCCAGTCCCCAGCCACAGTCACTCCCAGTCACCCAGCCATCCCAGCAGATGCTCAACACATTCTGAAGCAGATACAAGTCTTTTCCACCATACCCTGCCCAAATTCATAGCCTGGAGAATCCATGAGCGTAATATTAATAAAATATTTGCTTTAAGCTGCTAAATTTGGGAGTAAGTTACTACCCAGCAATAGTAACCAAACAAACTGTCAATCTTTGTTCCCTCTGCAAAATATATTGACCGGAAATCAGTGAGCATGCTTACTAACATCTACTATGCATAAAGATACTCTGTTATGTACCCTTTCATTTCTTCCTACCAGTTGAGTTGTATGCTTATGAAGAGGCATTGTGTTGTTCCAAAACCTTTCAATGTCATTTTATTTATTATTATAATTACATAATTGAATTAAAAATATATAAACTAATGAAGTTTTGGCATGAAAAGAAAGAGTTATTATTATTATAAAAACTAGGGTGAGTGCTTTGGAAAGACTCAACAAGGACAAATCAATAAAAGTTACTATCGTAAAAAAAAAAAGATAAGAATTACATTTTGCTATAATGACTTCTTGGATTTTGAAAATTATATGCATACCATAAAAGGTTATCTTGCCTCGTTGAAGGTTCAAATGGTATGATGATAAGACCATATTAAAAGCATTTATAAAAAGTAAAAAAAAGAAATTACTATTGTAGAAGTAGGTGTGAACAAGATATCTATAAAAGATTGTTGAAGGATTTTAAAAATCCAAAAGGATACTACATTCAGATTGCTTTCAAATGTTGTTAAGTTCTCATTCCACTTTAAAGAAATCAAAACTACATATTATAGTTGATGCCTTAGATGAGTATGATTTATGTAAGAAAGACAAGCTGCAATTCCAATCAGTGGACCCATATTTAAAGGAAAGAACTTGGCCCTAGATCAAAAGATTGGCAAAGGAATACACTTTTATATGTTTTAAGTTAAAATAAAGTGTTTAATATACCAACCCTTTGACCCAGTAAATCTACTCCCGGGCATAAACCTAAGAGAAATGAAAACATATGTCCACAAAAATACTTAGGAAAAAAATGTTCATGGCAACACTATTCAGGAAAACCCAAACTGGAACACCAAATGTCGAGGAGAATGGATAAACAAATTGTGTTATATTCCTACATGAAATAACACTCTACAATAAAAAGGAACAAATCCAACAACAGGGATGAATCGCACAGACACGATGCTGAGTAAAAGAAGCCAGATGCAAAAGAGCCGAAACTCTGGTTTCATTTATATGAAATTCTAGGATAGGCGAAACTAACCTATAGTGGGAGAACTCTGGAAACTTTCTCGGGTAATGGAACTGTTCGTTATCTTGATAAGGTTGTGGATCACACTTCTGTGTCCATTTGTCAAAATTGTACAGTTAAGATTCTGTATTTTAATGTATGTAAATCTTACCTGAAGAAAATAGAATTTAAAAGCTCCAGTGGGGGATGGGGAGACGATGGAGTTATAGATAAAACAAGAATGGCAGACTGTCAATAATTGTTGAAACTGAGTGTTGGGTACATGGGATACATTATACTATTCTGAATACTGATTACTTTGTGTATGTTTGGAATTTTCCACAAGAATTTTTAAAGTTAAAGTGTTTAAGGAATGTGTTATTGCCTATGATTCCCAGCTTTAGCCAACCTCTTTGATGAATGGCCCAACTCCCTGCCCCAGTCTGCTGCACAGATTACCACATGCTCTCTCCTGAGCTCTGGCGTGGGGTCAGTGCAGGCAATCTTTCAAAACCACAGCCAGGACAGGAGACTACTCCTCTGTACCACATATTCTAACACTTAAACACCTGCCCTGTTTCATAAGTGATTCATGTCATGGTAGCTCATTAAAACATTAGGGGAAAGGTGAGATGACAGCAGAAAAACAAACAAACATGAATTTTGTTATCAGACAGAGCTGGGGTCAAATCTCAGGTCTGGCATCTTTAATCTCTGTAACAAGACAATTCAATGTCCCTGAGCTTCCATGTCCTTATCAATGTAAGGTGGGCAAAAATTATCTCCCCATGTATGTTACCCTTTTCCCCAGTAACAGAAGTCTTGAGATGTGTGAATGGTGTCACAAAATGCCAGCCTCCCTTGCAGCTAGGTGTGGGTGTATAACTAAGCTCTGCCCATGAGAAATAAAAAAAGAATGTATCATGTGACAACTTCTAGGAATCTTTCTTCAAACAAAGCAGGCGTACACTCTTTGCTCCTCTTTCATCACCTCCTTTTCCCATCTTGCTGCCTAAATATAGATGTGATGGCTGGAGATGAGCCACTATCTTGGACACTGTAGGAATAAGGTAGTGGTAAGCAGGAGGACCTGGGTATGTAAAAACTTCCTGGAACAGAGCTGGCATTCCTGCCCTGGACCGCCTAGCTATGGACTTTTATACAAAAAAGAAAGTAATATCTTCCTTTTCTAAGCCACTCTGGGAGTCTCTATTACACAATTGTAAGTTTGCAACTGAACTTAAAGCTAACTAACGCAATACCTACTTCATTGTGTGCAGTGGTGAGTGAAAATGTACATGTCTATAACACATATTAGGTATAGAAGGTAGCAGTAAGTAATTGTTCTCATTACACCCCTAGAGTTACTGTCTTGTTGATTTGCTGTATCCTTCTCTGGATCTACTTACAAGTAACACGTAGTAGGCTTTGACAAATACTTGTGGGAGAGACAAAGAGAACTGCCCGCTGCCTGGCTCAGACCTCCCTACACTCACTGAGGGCATCAGAGCAATTCTGAATATGTCAGGGATGGCCCTCACCAGACTCTCCCAGGAGCAAAAAGCTTGGAGGAAAGACCACCCTTTTGTGGCTGTCCTGACAAAAAAATTCCAACGGCACGAAGAACCTCATGAACTGGGAGTGCGCCATTCCAGGAAAGAAGAAGATTCCATGGAAAGGAGGTTTGTTCAAGCTGCGGATGCTTTTCAAGGTTGACTACCCATCCTCACCTCCAAAGTGTAAATTTGAACCTCCATTATTTCACCCCAACGTGTCCCCTTCGGGCATGCTGTGCCTGTCCATCCTGGAGGAGGACGAGGACTGGAGGCCAGCCATCATGATCAAACAGATCTTACCAGGAATACAGAAACTTCTAAATGAACCAAATACCCAAGACCCAGTGCAAACAGAGGCCTACATGATTTACTGCCCAAACAGAGCGGACTGTGAGAAAAGGGTTCGAGCACAAGCTAAGAAGTTTGCACCCTCATAAGCAGTGACCTGTGTCATCGCAAGAAGGAAGGGATTGGTTTGGCAAGAACTTAACATTTTTGCAAATCTAAAGTTGCTCATACACTTACTAGTCACCTAGGGGAGGGCTCGGTGGGCACCATCTTCCATTGCCGCCACCAAGACACAGTTCTCGATTCGCTGAATTGCCCAGTTTTTCATACAGGGTCTCTTCCTTCAGTCTTTTGTATTTTTGATTGTTATGTAAAACTTGCTTTTATTTTAATATTGATGCTGGTATTTCAACTTCTGTAAAATGATAAACTTTTATACTTGGGTAAGTCCCTGGAGCTAGTTTCCTTTGGTCTGATGCAGGCATGATTGACACCTGGTGGAGCTCACTTGGCCTCTGGCGGGCTGTAGAGAAAAGAAAATCCCCCCTCCCGCCTTTGTTCTCTCTTCAGAATCTGGCTGTGTTGTTTTGAGCCTCAGATCCAAAGCCAGCCAGCCAGCTGATTCCGCATCACTTCTTTTGTGTTTATATGGCATTTTGTCTGTGTTGTTGTTTAGAGTAAATAAACTGTTTAGAGTAAAACCCAAACACTTGTGGGAGTGAATTGCATATATCACGCTCCAGTTTTTAATGATGGAAGACATACTGGCTCAAAGGGGAATAATTCAAAAGGGTTAATCATTTGACCAGACAGGATCTAACAATAATTCTAAAACCAAGAATGCAGGGATAAAAACAAAGGAATCTTGAAATGGGCACCCTCATAGACTATAGATCAAAGTTTCTCAACATTAGCACTGTTGACATTTTGGGACAGATAATTCTGTGTTGGTTGGGGAAGGGGCTGTGCTGTGCATTCACTGCAGGATGTTTGGAAGCAACTCTGGCCTCTACCAATGAGAGATGCCAGGAGCATTCTCCTTCCTTGAGTTATGACAACCAACAAATGTCTCCAGACATTGCAAAATGTCTCCTGGGGGACAAAATTGCTCCCCAGTTGAGAACTACTGCAAAAGATGGAGGTATAAATTTATACAACTTTTTAAGAAACAAGTTGGTAATAAAAATAAGGACCTTTAAAAATGTTTAGACATCTTTATCCAGAAATTCTACTCTGAGAAAATAATCAGTAATGTAAAGATGCACACGCATCAAAAATATAAAGATAAACAACCTTATTTTAAAAATGGGTGAAGGAGCCTGTGGTCCCAGCTACTCAGGAGACTGAGGTAAGAGGATTCTTGAGCCCAAGAGTTCAAGATCAGTCTGGGCAACATAGTGAGACCTCATCTCAAAGCAAAATAAAACAAAAATGGGTAAAGGATCTCAGTATATATTTCCCCAAAGAATATATACAAACAGCCCATAGGTCTATGAAAGATGCTCAAAATCATGAGCCATCAGGGAAATGAAAATCAAAACCACAACCAGATACCACTTCACACCCACTAGTATAGCTATAATCAAAAAGACATATAGGCCGGGCGTGGTGGCTCACGCCTGTAATCCTAGCTCTCTGGGAGGCCGAGGCAGGCGGATTGTTTGAGCTCAGGAGTTGGAAACCAGCCTGAGCAAGAGCGAGATCCCGTCTCTACTAAAAATAGAAAGAAATTAATTGGACAACTAAAAATACATAGAAAAAATTAGCCAGGCGTGGTGGCGCATGCCTGTAGTCCCAGCTACTCGGGAGGCTGAGGCAGGAGGATCACTTGAACCCAGGAGTTTGAGGTTGCTGTGAGCTAGGCTGACGCCACGGCACTCTAGCCCGGGCAACACAGTGAGACTCTGTCTCAAAAAAAAAAAAAAGACATATAAATAACAAGTACTAGTAAAAATGTAGAGAAATTGGAACCCTCATATTCTGCCGATGATAACATAAAATGGTTCAGTCACTTTGGAAAACAGTCTGACGGTTTCTGAAAAGGTTAAACATAGAGTTACCATATGACCCAGCAATTCCACTCCTAGGTATACACTCAAGAGAAATAAAAACATATATCTAACAAAAACTTGTACACAAATGTTTGGAACAGCATTACTCATAATAGCCCAAAAGTGGAAACAACCTAAATGCTCATCAACTGATGAACTAATAAATAAATTTGAAATATTCATATGATAGAATGTTATTCAGAAATAAATAATAAAAATAATGAATCTTGAAACCATAATGTTAAGAAGTCAATAACAGGAAGTCACATGGTATATGATTCCAGCTATGTTAAAAGTCCAGAACAAGCAAGTCAATAGAGAGAAAAAGCTCATTTGTGGTTGCTTAGGTCTGGGGGTGGGGTTGGGGGGTGGCATGGGAAATGATTGCTAATGGGTATGGTGTTTCTATGTGGGGTGGTGAAAATGTTCTAAAATTGCTCTAAAGTTGATTGCGATGATGGTTACACAACTCTGTGAATATATCAAAAATAATAGGATTGTATACTTTAAATGGATGAATTGTATAGTATGTGAATTAATAAAGCCATTATAAAAAACAGTTGAAACATCAACAACAGAAAGATACACATACAGAAATGTATATTGTTATAAGTTATTTATAAGATTTTAAAAATCAGAAAACACCTAAATGCAAAGCAAAAAGGGATGATAAAATAAATTGTGTTCGATCATATGGACAAGTATTAAGCAACCATTGTAAATCATCTTTTGAATAGTTACTAAAATCTTAAGAGAAAAGGCAGAATATAAAACCTGTACTTAGACTCACATGCAAACACACACACACATAAAAAATTATAAAAGGAGTCTCTTTGTCATCTTGCAAGATGGTGGGTGGAAAAGTTAAGAAGCCAGATACCAAGGAGAAGAAACCTGAAACCAAGAAGGCAGTGGCTTCAGTGGCAAGGCTAAAAAGGGTAAACTCAAGGCTAAAAAGCCCCAGAAGGGGAAGCCCTGCTGCAGGCAAAATCCTGTCCTCGTGAGAGGAATCAGCAGATATTCCCGATATTCCAGAAAGGCTATGTACAAGAGGAAGTACTCAGCCGCTAAATCCAAGATTGAAAAGAAAAAAAGGAAAAGGTTCTTGCCAATGTCAAAAAACAACTGGTAGTGACAAGAATGGTGATATTCAGGTGGTTAAACTTCGCAAAATGCCTAGATATTATCCTCCTGAAGATGCGCCTTGGAAGCTGTTGAGCCACGGCGAAAAGCCCTTCTGTCGGCATGGGAGAGAACTGCGAGCTGGCATCCGTCCTGGGACCATCCTGACCATCCTCACTGGGCACCACAAAGGCAAGAGGATGCTTTTCCTGAAGCAGCTGAACAGTGGCTTGTTACTTGTGACTGGACATCTGGTCCTCAATCGAGTTCCTCTGTGAAGAACACACCAGAAATCTGTAATCACCACCTCCATAAAAACTGGTATCAGCAATGTGAAGCTTCCAAAACATCTTACCGATGCTTACTTCACAAAGCAGCTGTGGAAGCCCAGATACCAGGAAGGTGAGATCTTTGACACAGAAAAGGAGAAATACAAGGTGACAGAGCAGTGCGAGGTTGATCGGAGAGCTGCGGACTCCCAAATTTTACCGAAAATCAAAGCTCTTCCTCAGCTCCAGGGCTACCTGCAGTCTGTGTTTACCCTGACCCATGGAGTTTATCCTCACAAATTGGTATTCTAAATTTCTGACAAAGAACCTAATTAAATAGCCAGGGGAAGAAAATAATCAAAGGAAATCCACCATCAATGAAGAATGGTTAATTCTGGGGGATAGGATGACTGGTGATTTATATTTTCTTCTCTTTTTTCTATAGTTTTTATATTTCCTACATATTTCCTATTATATTTCCTGTATCTAATCAGAAAAAGTAAAGATTAAAAAAAGACAGTTTATTTCCACAACTTACTTGAAACTTATAGACTATAAGAGCTGAATAGAAAAGGATAGATCATGTAGTAAGACCTGATTTTACTGATGAGGTAATTAGAGCCCAAAGAGGCCAAGTGGCTTGGCCCACTGTCAGTCATCTTGTCAGAGCCTGTGAAACTGAAACAGTTCCTCTCCTCTGTGGCCTCCTTTTCTTCCTTAACACCCTCACCCCTTAGACACACACACACACACGGGCAGCTCAAAAAATTTGAGGCATTTCTTTCCCAAATTGGCTTCTGTTCTACAATTTCTACGGGATTAGGTAGGAAAGACCCAACTTCTCTCGCAGATGAGTCAGGCCCAGCTGAGGCCTGAGCACAGTGGATAAGCAACAATGAGGACAATCATCTTTTTTTGGCATCCGAAGCAGACGAATCTGATTGAAATCATGCTGGCCCTGGGATAAGCATCCTCAGCTTTCTCTGGCAAGGATTGGCTTAGGCAGCCTTTGAAGTGGGGCACTCTGGTTCCCATCCACAAGAGCAAGGCAAGGACGAAACCCCAGGGAACCACCCCAGCAACAGCTGCCGATGCTTCTCTGAGCAGCAGCCCATAATCACCTCATTTCCCTGCTCCCAGTGTTGTCCAAGGGCCTCTTCGGCCTTTGGCATCCTGGAAAGCAGCACAGATGGGAGGCTGGAAGAACGCACAGGGAATGCATCTATCCAAATGGCCAGCTTCTGATGCTGCTCTGTCCCAGGGCTCCCAAGCTCTCCAAAGGTAAGAGAATCAGGCGAGAAACAAGAGCCCAGTGCGCCTCAGCAGAAACTAAAGGTCAGTGAGAGTTGGCAGTTCTCCCTGTTCCTGAATGACTCCCAGAGGATGGTGCATTGGAAAGTGGTCAGTGTTGAAATCCAGACATGTGGGCCTGGCCACAGAAGCCTGATTCTTCCCCTTGTCTCTACGATATGTGAAAGTGAAAAATACAGAGTTCACGGTATAATGCTCACCCTTTGACATTAATTTCAATTAAATAAACTTAGCCCAGACTGTAGGGCTCTTCTGTTGTGTTTTAGCCTAGTGACGGTGGGCAAGAGATGACCCAGGTTCAAACCCCAGCACTGCCACTCACTGGTCAGGTTAACCTGCACACGTTAGTTAACTCTTCTGTGCCTCAGTTTCCTCATCTGCAAGAAGAAGACAATAATAATAGTACCTACTTCTCAAGTCGTTATGAGGCTTTACATAGTCCCCGACTATGATTACTGTTCAACAAATGCTAGCTATTATCTAATACTAGTGGGGATGGGGACAAAGATCTTCAAATACAGAATT